CACATTTACTCCAACTCCCAAGATGAACATAAGATTTGATTCTAAAAAAGTACCTCTCAAGGATATTATTAAAAAGTAGCTTGATTAGGTGTCTATTTTTGTCTGGAATTTAGCATTTGTTACATGATATTTCTACATCCAGTTTGTATTCATTTTTATTTTATAAGGATTGTATTTTGAGGGGAGTGCTGGTGATGTGAGCAGGGAGGCAAACATTCTAATTTGAGAACTGAAGATAGTTCTGACACTGCGATGGACGAAAATCATGGAATTCTGAAATATTACCGGATTTCCCATAGCTATTTGTAACTGACACATCATTGTTTCACCTGCATGGGAAGCAGAGAAGCCTTTATGAACTAAATACTTTCTAAGATTTACAAAGTAAGAGATTTTCCACAGATACATTTTGTTATATGCAACTACTAAGAATTTCCTGTAATGATACACACAGTCAAAAGATGTCTATAAGGGGGGCGTGGCCTGGACGAGCATGGTGCAGGTCGCATAGCTGCTGAGCTCTGCATCCCTAGCCGATAAACAGCAGCATTGCAGCGCACTGACGGGTACCGATGGTCCGCAATAAAAAGAAAACGGTTACTGGTAACACGGCGGCGGAATCCCCCCGAGGGATGGCTATGTGTCGGCTCAGTCCGAGGTGAGAGGCTCGCGGCCTGAAGACAAGATGGTGCCTGCCTCCCCGGGCGCGGAGAGCATGGTGGAATCGCTAATTTAGGGGGACCCCTTGGGAGAGCTGGCACTGATACGTGCAGAGTTGACCCAGATCTCAGCCAGAATGCTCCGAGTGGAACTGCGGGAGGAACTGGCCAGTTTGAGCTCTGATCTGACAGCATTGGAAAGCAGAGTGGGTGAAGTGGAGGCCGCAGCCCAAGACTGCTCCCAGCAACATCATGCCACAGAAATGGCAGTCACCAGGCAGGGCAATCTGCTGCTTACTCTCTGGAGGCAGGTAGAGGACCTAGAGAACCAGAGCAGGCGCAACAACATCTGCGTCCTGCCAGAAACGGACGCAGCCCCACTCACAGACACCCTGGAAGCTCTGTTCCAGCAAATACTTGGAACTGAAGCACCTACAGCAATCCATTTTGAGTGAGCGCATAGAGCCCTGGGTCCTTTGAGGCAAGTGGGGAGCCCCTGTACGTCAGCAGTCTGAAGGAAAAGATCATGGCGGCCGCAAGAGGGGAATCTTCGATTAGGTTCAATGATGCAGACATCTCCCTCTACCAAGACTTATCCACGCTGACACTAGATGCCACACGAGCCCTGCGCCCAGTCACGAGCACTCTATGCGACAAGAGGCTAAACAGGGAAACTCGTGGGTGTCTGCCCGCTGGCCAGAGGATATTCAAGGCTTTTTGAGAGCCTTGCACATGCCTATGATCCGGGTCTGCAACTGGATCCTTGAAGAGGCCATAGTGACATGGAGGTACCCCCTAGTGCCATTGCACCCTGAAGGCGCGACACCTGGGAGACAGGCCCCACAATGCCAATGGGGAGGGCTGAGTGGCCCAGAAGAATAGGAGGCCCAGGGTGCGGACTGAGTGTCGGGAGGTCGTGAGTAGCTCCGTGTGGGAGTAAAGGCTCAGGCTGGGGTCACGCGGACACGGAGGTGGCTTGAGGACACTTTGAGAGGGGGATTCCAATGGGCACGATGGAGATCCCCGAATGCCCGAGAAAGGTATGGTCCCTGAGGGGGAGGCTCCATGGACGAGCGGTCAAAGTCCCATGTGTCCAGTTCACTTTTGGGGGGGTGTGCGGGGGTTGGTGTGCTGCAATGAGACGCTGGGGACTAAAGCCTGTTGGGCCACAGAACTGAGTGCGGAGACAGCTCTTGAAGGGTAGGCCCAATTGGAGACAACAGGCATACCAGGTCTCTCTGGGAAGGGAAGCAGGGTAGGGAGGCGCAGACCCCGCACAGGGACGTACCGCTAAAATGGTGCACCACACCACATATAGTCCTACACATACGGTGCATCTCCATCCAACTCAGCATGGTAACGTCGCAGTCAAGAGGGGAGAAGGGTCTGTGACCTGGCTGATACGGGATGCCGCGCGGGTCAAACCCTTCTTAACATACAGTCGGCAAAACACATATTGGGTACACTTGGAGCTGGGGGGCACACCGGTCTAGTGGCGATCAAGGGGGGGAGGGGTCTGGGAAGGTGTGGGCTGGTATTAGGCTAAACTGGAGAAGCATTTAAATAAAGGGACAAAACTAAATGGATGGGAAAACCCACGACCAGTAAACTAAGTAAAAACATAACCCGATACACAGGCCAGACTGCTTCACGACCCGGCTGCCACCTAACCACCGTACCACCCTGACGGACCCACAGATGGGGAACAGGGGACAGGCCCAGGGGAATCGGATTGGACAGGGGAGAACCAGAGGCCCTCATCCACACCCTGACCGCTCAGACACACGGACGGGACCACGACCCCTCACGAGGCAACCCGACACCCGTGAAAAGGTTACGACACACAAATACCCAGGGACTAGAGTTGAGCGAACCCGGACTGTAAAGTTCGGGTTTGTACCGAACATAACGTTTTTTGGACCCTGGACCCGAACACGCACATATCACTGTATGTTCGGGTTGGAGTTCGGTGTTCTTCAACTTAATGGCGCATTTTCAAAGGCTGAAGGGCAGCGAGTCAACAAGCGTTTGACTCGGGTGCCCTTAGAAGCCATCACAGCCATGCCTACTAATGGCACGGCTGTGATTTGCCAGTGCAGCATGTGACCCAGACTCTATATATAAGCTGGAGTCACGTAGCGGTGCACGCACATGAGGTCTTATTAATGTAGGGAGAGGATGCTGCCGCTATGAGGGACAGCTTAGGAAAGAATTCTGCAAACTAGTACATCAGTGGGGTGCACTTCATATCTGTCATGATCTCCATCGGCAAGGTGCGCTTATATTCCTGTTGGCATCGGGGGATTTGAATTTTGGACTCTTGCTGCTTTGGTCCTACTCTCTTTCCTCTGAGCCACTCATCTACTCATGATTTTTGCCTATGTCCAGCCTTGCCTTATCTCCAGCACTGGGGCTGAACTTTACTCGTGGCTGTTCATGTGTATCTATACCTCCTGTAGCAGATGTAAATCAGCTTGGTATTTAAGCACTGCCTCACCCTGAGAACATTGTCAGTTCATTGTATCCTGATTCCTGTTGTTCCTGACTGACTTTTTTTTTGGTTTTTTGACTCCTGTTTCTGTATATTCGCTATTGCCTGTTCGTTGCCTGCCCTGACCTTTGGAAACTTGCCTGACTACTCTCCTGGATTTTCCCTTGTCTGTTTCCTCGTACCTGGTTATTGTTCCTGCACAACCCCCGTGCACAGACTCACAGACCAGGTGAATTCTAATCTGACCAACTCGGTCTGTGTCTATTTGCAAGGGTGAACACACATCTCTGCACTTCAGACTCCAACCAAGGTAAGACTGTTACAATATCTGAGAGTCAAATAGAAGCATCAAATACCGCTGTTACATCGGAGTTTTAAAAAGTAAATTTTGTTTTGGGTGCTAAATAGTACATTAGTGGGGTGCACTTCATATCTGAGAGTCAAATTGAATCGTTGAATACTGCTGTCACATTGCAGTTTTAAAACGTAACATTTTTGGGATGATAAAAAGTACATTAGTGGGGTGCACTTCATATCCGAGAGTCAAATAGAAGCGTCAAATACTGCTGTCACATTGCAGTTTTAAAACTTTAATTTTTTTGGGTGCTAAACTGCTAAATAGTATTCATATCTGAGAGTCAAATAGAAGCGTCGAATAGTGCGCTTACAGCACAGTTGTAAACATTCTAATTGTTTTGCTGCTTATCTGCTAAATAGTACATTTGGGGCCTGCTTTTTTTATCTGAGAGTCAAATCGAAGCGTCTAATAGTTATCAATAGCTAAGAGGTACTTAAACAATATTGTAATTCTGGGGCCAAACCCTCACAAGTCAAACTGAGAAATCAGTTTATAGGGAAAACTGTTGCCTGGAGGAAATTCTAAAACAATTTCCATATGCCCTTTAGAGACTTTACATGCTGGAAAAACACAGGTGCCAACTGCTGTGGCTTTCTGCAGTGTGCAGACCGGCAAGGAGGGCAGTGTTGAGGAGTGGGTGGAAGATGATGTGGAGGATGATGAGGTCCTAGACCCCACATGGAATCAAGGTCATGCGAGTGATGTGTGCAGTTTGGAGGAAAAGGCGCTGGTCGCACAGAGGCACCAGCACATCATAAGAGGGAGCAGGGTGCAAAAGCGGAGCGGCCATCCCCTAGCGCTCGTCGGCATGTATTATCTTTAGAATTCCCACAGTTATCCAAGTAACAGTTGAAGCGATAAAAAGAACTATAACAGATTTAACGAGCCATACGCAGTTTCGCAGTCCAGTGACCCTGTCTGGGCAGCGGTCGGACGGCCAGGACCCAGTATGCCTGATATAGAAGTTAGGAGTCACAGTGTGGAATGGATTAGCAGGGTCTGGTGCTGGGTAACCGCATGCCCCCTGGTGTTGAGCACCAGCGTTTATGCGGCCACGTACCAGGACCCTGATGCAGCTTCAGTAGAAAGAGTACTGGATACCAGAAGCCATCACCAGACTGATCCCCAACTTAGAACAGGATGTGACATTCACTGTAGCGGCTGTGCGCTCTTTTGGCATTCTCCCCCTGCTGCTGCTCGCCTGTCTGCCCTGCAGCGTAAGTTTGGCCTTCCCGCTCACTGCCTCATATGCGACGTGCCCACAAGGTGGAACTCCACATGCTGGAGAGACTGTTTGAGCGGCAGCAGGCGATAGTGGAGTTTCAGCTGCAGCACGCACGGGTCAGTGGCTCTGCACCAGACATCCCTCCAATTGATCAGAGTTAAAGGATTTCAAGTGGACTCATTACAATTACAGGGCCTCTAAAGAGTCCTGTATTGTTATTTGTCATCACTACCTTCCCGCGTCGGGAGTGGGTCATTTGCGCGCCTGCTGCCTTCCTTGCATGTGGTAGCCGTTTGTCAGGGTCCCTGTATGGAATCGAACCCTGATTCCCCATTACCCGTGGTCACCATGGTAGGCGCAGTCAATGGCATCGAAAGTTGATATGGATTGACATACGAATGCGTCGTTGCCTTCTCGTTGGGGAGCACATTGAAAAAGTGCTCTAGCATGACGAGCTGGGTGATCTCGCCCGGGAATTTGGCTTGATGGGAGTTGAGCCAGTTCTGGGTGGCCCTTGTGATGCCCTGGTGTATACCCAGATATCTTAGAGCTGCTGCATAAAGTGTGGGCCGTCTGTGCGCGCTTTTGGCGTTCTCATCCTGCTGCTTGTAACAAGGGGTTTGTTACACTGGGTATCTCAGATATGCACTGTGGGACAGTTTTAAATTGTACATAATGTTAGCAAATATGTTGTGTTTCTGATGAAAGATGGCTGCCCTCACGAAGCAGGAGTAAACCAGTTCTCTTCTTTTTTTTTTTTCATTCTTTATCTAAATTTGAGCAGTAGACAATTCATATGACTTATACAATGACAGTAAACATTAGTGCAATACAAGCAGTGAAGAGAGCACATGAATAGGAAAATGAAAAAGCATCAGTAATTTGACTTTTGTGACGTTATGGTCTGTAATTACAGTCCAATTACCGAAGAGAGAAAAACAAAACAAAAAAAAACAACAACAATTTTAAGTGCATTCTCTGTAGGGAGCTCAAAACACTTGAAAAGGCGTCAGAAAATACATATAGGTCACCTGTCTGTGCTGCAGCGTAACTTCGGCCTTCCCGCTCACCGTCTCATGAGACTATGTGAGCAGCAGCAGGCGATAGTGGAGTTTCAGATGCAGCACGCACGGGTCAGTGGCTCTGCCGAACAGTTTTCTTTTTTAGTATGTCCCAATATTTTGGGGGCTACCCCAATTAAAATAAAAAATATATTACAGTGTTGGCTACCTCCTCCTCCACCGCCGCTTCCACCTCCACCGCCATGGTCACTGCTTCCTCAATCTATGGGTCACTTAGTATACATTATGTACACAATAGCAGAGGCTAGTGAAGGCCTTTTCTCCATGCATCAGGAGTTGAGCTCAGTTTGAACAATGAAAGAGAATACCCTGCACTCCAACCCTCTCTCAAATAGATAATTCTGGTTATCCTCCTGACAGCCATGCTTTAGATTTTGATTTATGTTCTTCCAAAGCTAAAATCAAAGATACCATCTAGTGCTAATTTATGGCTCAGCTGATTTTTTATTTTTATGTTATTTTAAGTGATTTCCCTATCCACATTTGTTTGCAGGGCACTTGCCCTACACTTACCCCCATTTTACTTCCTTTTGCAGCCCTCTAGCCCTTTCCAGGACTTTTTTAGAGGCATTTTTGTGCCCAAAAGTTTGGGTCCCCATTGACTTCAATGGTGTTCGGGGTCAAGTTTGGGGTCAAGTTCGATCACGAACCCGGACCTTTTTTTTAAAGTTCGCCTGAACCCGCTGGAACCGAACATCCAGGTGTCCGCTCAACTCTACTAGGGACACATCGCAGACAGCTAAGTGACCAATAGAACTCTCCTGACCACAATACCTTAGTGCTATACTTGCCAACTCGGCTGAGGATGCATACGGTTAGATTACTGAGTTACCAAACCTTTACTCTGTGGTAGTTTAATACACCCTGTTCCAAATTATTATGCAAATTCTATTTAAGTGTCACAAAGATTAAATATTTTGTTTTTCAGTTTAAATCATGGATGGCATTGTGTCTCGGACACCTGTGATAATTAGATTGCCAGGAAATTTAAGGAAAAACTACTAAAGGAGGGTGTTCCACATTATTAAGCAGAGCACCATTTTCATGCAATATGGGGAAGAAAACGTATCTCTCTGCTGCCGAAAAGAGTGAAATAGTTCAATGCCTTGGACAAGGTATGAAAACATTAGATATTTCACGAAAACTTAAGCGTGATCATCGCACTATTAAGAGATTTGTGGCTGATTCAGAGCACAGACGGGTTTGTGCAGTTAAAGGCACATTGAGGAAGATTTCTGCCAGATCCATGCATCGGATCAAGAGAGCAGCTGCTAAAATACCATTAGATAGCAGCAAACAGATATTTGAAGCTGCTGGTGCCTCTGGAGTCTTGCAACTGTGCATAAACCTTCTATTCGGCCACCACTAACCAATGTTCACAAGCAGAAATGGCTGCATTGGGCAGAAAGATACATGAAGACTAATTTTCAAACATTCTGTTCACTGGTGAGTGCCGTGCAACCCTAGATGGTCCAGATGGATGGAGTAGTGGATGGTTGGTGGACTGCTACCCTGTTCCAACAAGTCTGCGACGTCAGCAAGGCGATGGTGGAGTCATGTGTGTCATACTGTGTCCATATCCTTGGCCCCGCTCTCCTCGCTGCTCCTGCCTCCCGCCCTCCCCCTGGCCTTCCCTCTCCTCCTCCCCTCTGCTGGCACTGCTCCTTGGGTGGGCTCCCCTCCTCCCCTCGCTGGGTCGGGGGTTGTCCCGGGCCTGCCGGCCCACTATGGCTGCAGGGTTCGCGCCCGCGACGCTTCATCTCTGTTCGCACAACGTAAAAGGCCTGATTACCCCCGAATGGAGATCTCACCTTCTACGCACCTTGTGGACATCCCGAGTCTCCACAATAACGCATGTGTCACATCACCAAAATCAAGCCTAAGGAAGGAACAGCAACCCAACTGCCGGACAAAATCACAGAGGAATTTCACAAATACTACACAGAACTATATAATCTACCACAGGGTGACTCGGCGGTAGAGCAACAGGGGAAGACCGCGCAGATGATGACATACCTACAGCAGCATGTAACTAAGACTCTCAGCCAAGAGGACGCAAAAGCCCTAGAAGCCCCCATCACGCTCATGGAACTCCAAGCGGCCCTGAAGGCATAAAAACTGAATAAAGCCCCGGGCCCAGATGGCCTACCAGTTCGCTACCTTAAATAATTTGACATGCTCCTGCCACGACTCCTGGGCGGCATAAACTCCATACGGGAGGGAGGCACATTCCCGAGAGTCTCTGATGACTACCGTGGCTGTGATACCGAAGGAATGGAAGGACCCCACTAGCTGCGCTAGCTACAGGCGGATATCTCTCTTAAATGCAGACCTGAAGCTTTTTACCAAGATCCTGGCCACGCGCCTCAGCGGAGTACTCCCGGATCTGGTTGAACCGGATCCGGTGGGTTTGATACCAGAAAGAGCGGCAAGAGACAATACCAATGCCCGCTTTCCCCCCTCCTGTTTGCCCCGTCCCTAGAACCCTTCCTGGGGGTGGTCAGACGGGACGGAAAGTGGTTGGGTACACCCTAAAAGGAACGACCCACAAGTTTGCAGAATGAATGCCGTCAAGATGAACCTCCTCCCTCACCTCTTATACTTATTCCAAATGATCCCGATTTGCTTGCCCGCATCCTTCTTTCAACACTTAGACACAGTCATCTTGAGGTTCACATGGAGGAACCAACCACCCAGGATTAGATACTACGACAGGCGAAAGCGCAGGGAGGGGTGGGCCTCCCCTCTATCCGGAATTACCATAGAGCCACACATCTACTGCTCATTATGGAATGGCATGTATCCAAAACCTCCAAGATCTGGAAAAACACGGAGAGAGCTCAGATGGAGGGGGCGCTCCTGGCATGGGTATGGATGTTTTAACCCATGAGGGGAACACCAGCCCACCACCATCCACTTATAGGAGCAACCATGGAGACCTTGTGTGCGATAAGGACGAAACTTGCACTCTCTACGCTGCCGGGGACGCTGACCCCAGTGACATATAACCCGGAGGTGGCGGGGGGCCTCATGCCCGAATACATCAGAGCATTCGGGGAATTGGATAGGTCCTACATGCTCCAGTGGTGCACAGCAGACGCACTTAAACAACTGCCCGACCTGCTGGGAGACAGGACCCCAACATCCTTGGACAGATTCCGCTACTTCCAAGTTAAATCTTATTGCAACTCACAAAACGGTAGACACATTTTCCATAGACCCCTAACAGAATTTGAGACCCTGTGCAGGGCCAGGGCGCACCTCCACAAAGGGATCTTGGTCCTATATGCGCTGCTTCAGGCAGCTGTCCAGCAGGAACCGGCAAAATACGCGGCGAGGTGCGAGAGGGCCACGGGACTTACACTCACCGACCCCCAGTGGACTAAGATATACATACTGACACATCAAAGTTCCATGTTCTCTAAGCTGCAAGATCTAAACTATAAACTGCTCATCGGCTGGTACTGCACTCCAGAGAGATTACACTGCATGCTACCTGACGTCCCGGACACATGCTGGAAATGCAGGGAGCGGACGGGTACGGACCCACATATATGGTGGTCATGTAACAGAATAACCCCTTTCTGGCAGGGAGTCCATAAGACGATGCAAGAGATACGGGACAGCGACCTCCCATTCCAACCGCTCCAGATGTTACTCTATCATACCCCGATCCCTCTTTTGCGATATAAGCAATCCTTAACCAAGCACCTCCTCAACGCAGCTAAACTCCTGATCCCGGTCAGATGGAGAACTACCCTAGCATCTACCCTCAAAAAGTGGATGGATAAAGTGGAAGAAATACACAAAATGGAGAGGCTCTCGGGCCTGCGGGGGTTTCTAATTGGTGTAAATAACAGTCAGCATAATTCTATTAAGAGCATAATTCAAATTTTATCGAACAAACCTCCTAATGATAACAGTATTTTTTTTAAACATAAAATTCCAAGTTCCAAATTATAACGCACAGTAAGTTTAAAAACACTATAGGTTGTAAAGAACTGAAAATTGTCATTTGTTGTGTTTGCAGCATATTTACTGAAATCAAAAGCTATTTCAATCAAACTTATAACAACATTTTAACTTTTTAAACATTTTAACATAGGACCCCTTATTTGATAGCAGCTTCACAAGTCTTGCATCCATTGAACTTGTGAGTTTTTGGACAGTTTCTGCTTGAATTTGTTTGCAAGATGTCAGAATAGCCTCCCAGAGCTGCTGTTTCGATGTAAACTACCTCCCACCCTCATAGATCTTTTGCTTGAGGATGCGCCAAAGTTTCTCAATAGGATTGAGGTCAGGAGAGGATGGGGGCCACAACATGACTTTCTCTCCTTTTATCCCCATAGCTGCCATTGATGCAGAGGT